GCAGTGATCAACCTTGGTCTTTGTATTGCCAGGAACATTATTTTCTACTGAAAGGTCGGAATCAACCTTTGCACCTGAAAAAGATGTTAGGTCAGGTGAGCTCTAAAAGAAAAATAGTAGACACCAGTTGACCAAACAGATTTATATCGGAACATAAACATCATTCTGATGGAATAAAATAATTCAATCACTGTAAATATCCAACTAAAGTTAACTAAACTTAATATTTAAAGTCAAGCACGAATACGTACTTTTTTAAAGTTGAAACAACACATTTCATTTCACATTTCTTATTCTAATATTAAAATTTATTTAAATCATTTTTTGCAGTGTATAGTGGCTCTTTAGCCAGAGATTTGTATCAGACAGGGTGATTATTATGTACTAAAACTAAAACTATTTAAAATGTTTTTGTTGATTGAAATAAAGCTTAAATAAAACCAAAATCTAAATGTTATATATATATATATATATATATATAAGCACACAATGAAATGAATAAGAAATTAAACTAAAATAAAAGATAACTAAATAAAAATATAAAAAAAAATATTAAAGCTATAATAACACTGGTCAGAACAGAATCATCATACTAAATAAAATAATACATTAAAATCAAATAAAGAACATATGTCACATAACATATTAAATAATATATATTATCAAAATTTGTAAGCGTCAGATATATTGACTGCGGGAAAAAAGATATGTTCTTTTAGATTTGTTTGGGATGGAGGAAATGCAGAAGTGGGCGGTGTCACTGAAGCAGTACCTCATAAATCAATTATGGCATCTGAAGCCCACAACCTCAGCTAGCCAGACCCAACTGCTGAAAAATGCACTTTTATTTTCTAAAGCTTTTGAAATCATGAAGCAAGTTCCTTAAGTCGCCGTTTTAATGGCATGTCAGATCAAAGTCCTCATTGTGAACTGTTGTGAACCTCGCTTACAGTGAAAGCAAGCGCAGGGCTGATTCACTTTGATGGATTATAGTCATTTTAATAATGGAGCTAAATTTGGACTTGGATAATGGCAACACCCCGTCCCCTGTACAGTACAGTATTGTGGCCTCAACAACAAAATAACTCGATTATCTGTCCCGCATGTCACTTTCTATTCTAGCTGCTACTGATGTTTGAACGTCGTGAAGTGCATTTTTGCGCCACTTGCAACTGTTTTCAAACAGGTTTCGCAAACACTCACCCATCTTATGGCCCTTTCACGCCGAGCGTTTTTACACTTTTGTAAGCGCAGGTAAGCTCAAATCTAATTGGACGGATCGCCGTCGCGTCATACATCATGCTCAGGTGAAAAGGCCCTTTAAGGGGATGTTACATTGACCTTTTTTAACCCTTAAATGCATGAATGTTTCACCAATCATTATTACATATTCGGGTCTTTAGCGACCCGGATCTATATCTAACACGGATGGATCTGTCTACCTGTCGTAATAATATAATATTACAGTAACAATTATTGAAGTATAAAATAATGCTACCCTATCTCACGACCACTTCGTACAAATTCGTACGAGTGATTCAAAAGTGGCTAATTCGTACTAATTCATACGACCACACTCGTACGAATTTGTACGATTTGTCTAAACCCACGTGACGGTTATGTTTAGGGGCGGGGTCAGGGGTAGGTCATTCGTATGAATTAATACGAATTGGCCAATTCGTAAAATATGTACGATTTAGCAAAATCGTACTAATACGTACGAGTGAGGTCGTACGAATTGTTACGAAGCCACCTCGTAAAATTCGTACGAATTCCCGTGAGATCGGGTTAATGCATGTTTTGTTACCTTTTGGAACTTGAAAGGGTTTCTTTTGAGCAGATCATCATCATCACTGTCCTCATCTGGCTCATATTGGCAATCTCAACCATATTCTGAAAACTATCATTTTTTTCAACATTTTCAAAATCAATATTTTATTTAAGGGCGAAAGTTTTCCTGACAGATTTCGCAAAAAAGATTGACCAACAGAAAGGTGGTTGGTTTGAAAGTAAATTATGCATGAACTGTGCTACATACTTTGCTACACTACTGGCAGTAGACAGAACTTTCCACCGAAATTCCCGATCAAGATAACGCTAACGGTAACATGACCGTACCGTTATTTTTCGCTTGTAGGCTACTGTAAGTCTCTTGGACTTATACTGACACCAAGTGGAGTTGAGGCAGCATCACTCAAAACTGGAGTCATTATCTCATCTATTTTTTAATCTATGATTCGTTTATCTGTAAAACTTTAATGAAGAACAGATTACTTTTTAAATCATTTTCAATAAACGTTGCCCCCTATTACATTGTGAGTAACTACATTTAGTATGATTGACTACAATTATTCCACTAACTAGATCTGTTTTCCATAAACATGAGACAATATTCCAAGCACATTGGCCCTGAGAACAATATGAGATGATGACGGAGAGTGACGAGAACAGAAGAATCACGGAAAGCAGGGAATCGCCAGGGAAACAGGGGTGACAGGGACTGTGAGAGAGGGAAAGGCTGTTTCTGCCTTGTTGCTCCAGAGATTCATTGCTCTCCTCATCAATCATGGAGGGCTGATGAAATTGTTCCTGCCCAGAGAGAGCCTCATGGCTCTCATGTGCAGAGTTGGCATAAATCCTGCTGGCAGGGAATAGAAGTGGATTATATCGTGCAAATTAATTGTTGTTTGAATTTGCCACTTTTTCTTCCTGCCCGCGGAGGGCTTGAAACATGAGCAGCGTATTGTCTTTTTCTCATAGCATTTTTTTTTCAAGGAACCATGTCAAGAATTTCGAAAGGGGAAAAGGTTGAGGATCAGCCTCGGAGAGCATTGATCTAAATATTCCAAGCAGAAGGTCAAAAATGGACATTTCTTTATTATCTCAGCCAGAAAACCATAAATTCCCATAAGCACATAAATTTCCACACCTTCACTGAAGAACAAACAAAAGAGCACCGCGTTCACCTGCAGATCAGTCATGTGTTCCGTTTATTTTTAGACCACTTCCCCTTTGTTTGATCGGTCCGGAGCTGTAGACAAGCATAGGGATGTCTCTCTCTCATTAGTGTTTAACACAGGACTCTTGTCATCAAGGTCAACAGGACCCCTGTGCCTGTTGAGGAGGGCCTTGCCAAAACTGAAGACGCATGCAGACAACAACTTCTTTATTTTCCTGCTCTGGTTCAGACATTCACTGTCCTTTGCCTGACCAAAAGGTGATACATATTTTTGCATTTGTTGGCTTACAATTTAGTTATATGATAGGTTAGTGCTACATACAGGTATGATCTTCAATTGATTGTTTATTTTTAATGGTGTTCATTTTATCTAGCCTATACCCTACTTTTGAAATGTATTGCGAGACATTTGCAAAATTACACAAATCGGGTTTTGTGTCTTGGAGACACGTTGTTTAGTTTGACCTTCTGAGTCTGACAATCATCCTTTTATGAAGGTTAAGCAAGCAGGCACCTAAATTACAATTTGTTGTCAAAAGAAACACTTCCTCTTATAAAAAAAAAAATCCTCTGCGTATGCTACTGTATGATTTTCTTTGAAGGTAGATCGATATTTCAATGGTAAATCAGCAACAAGAAAAAAATGTATTCACCATTTCAACGTGTTGAGTAACTGTAATGTACTGACTGCTACTAAAACTCACGAGCAGTGCAATACTGCCCTCTAGAGGATTTCTAAGAAGTCATTACAAAGTATTGGCCAGATGATCCTGTTGTTATTGTCAAATCTTTCATTTCCTTTCTAAATCCAGAATGCGGGTCAGCAGTTTGCTTACATGGCCTAAAAGAATATGATACTTTTAGGGCTTCTTATTTGAACTTACATAGCTATACATGATGAAGATGCTTGGGGATTAAAGAAAACCAGAGTATTGCAGTCATCCAGATGGACAATGCATGCCAAACGGTCATCAAAGCGTCCGCAGTTGTTGAATACAATTAAATGTTCAATTAATGAACAAATCGTTCTTTTGATTCGGGCGTGTTTATCGAATCACTTCACAAATGTGGGTCTGACTGAATTGCACATCTAAAGTAAATGGTTCTAGAGTCAACGGGTGTGTTCGACTTGATGCAGCGCTGTCGGTTAGAAAAATGTGTTCTAAGTTGAGACAGCTCCGACGTCACGTGACTGTGACGTATGCCATCAAAGAACAGCGAGAGCGATTCGAGAGCAGACGGCTGGCTTTCTCACACCTTCATCATAAATCTGTTTTTTTTTTTTCTAACAGTAAAAGCTCTTTTCATGTAGTTGCGAAGTTATTGTGTCATGTTTTTTTTTTATAAAATGGATAGAAAAAAACTTAGACCCTACTTCATTGATCAGGCTTATGTTGAACTTTATTACTTTTTCAATCCCACAATGCAATGCAATAACGAGTGTGGCCTGCAACTGATGTAGTCCTACGCTCAACGGCAAGAATACCCATAATGCACTATAAGGGACATGCCGAATGAATTAATACCCGAGCAGAAGATGGCCCCTGTAGCTGAATAATCCATCCATTTTCCGAACCGCTGGTCCAATGTGGCTTCAGCATAATATCATAAATCCCTTTTTAAAAATATTATTAAATTGTTTAATTGAGGTTTATGCATGCTAGTTTCCATGACAGAGTTCAAGATTAATCTTTAAATTACTACTATTGGAGCTGCCAGTTTGCAAACTATCAAATGATTACTAAATGGCAACGAACTATGCAAAAGCGGCAGCCCGGCACACTCAGTGTCCGGATTCACTCACTCGTTTTCATTTACTTTTTCAAGAGGGCGAAATTAGTGGAGTAATGTAGGGAATAGTGATTGAGTGTGATGGGGGCGATTTCACACAGCCAACTACTTTGACGGAAAATATTTACTCGAACCGAGGCCGAGCTGTTCAGATGAACCGATTCCGGAAAAGACTCGGACTCACAGCACACTTGTTGCATGTGTGAAACAGTTACAGAAAACTCCTCCCATGGCCCGCCCTCGAGCAGCGCTTCACAGCGGAGCATCTTTCATTCTTGACTCACACGATGAATACTAAGTTGACAAACGGGCTTCTTAACCCTTAAGGAGTTTTACCTTTATGTGTAGCCTATGGGTTTTTACACTAGGCTAGCGTGCGTTCGTCTAAGTTGCATTAAGAGTACAAATTTGTGAGAACTGTCGCGGAAATTACAATGTGGCCAAACTAACATTCAGTTAGGACTGAGAAGAACAAGCGGGTAAGTGCAACATTTAACGCAGTAGCGTCTTGAGGTCCTGTATAGGCAACATCAGAGGATAACTTACATAGAGAAGAGTTACAAAACGTGCAGAACTGAATGCCAGTTGAACTACTTATTTCTTACGTTGTAATCATGTTAGTTAATGTCATTAATGAATGTTATTAGGAAGTCTTGCAGAGTAAAGCTCAACTTTTATGGGATTCTTGGGATGTAGATGATTTCTCAACATAGGTTCCTACATTGGTTTTGCCTCAAAAACTAGTGCTCTACAACATTTTCGGGCATTAATTTATAGGCAAATTCGGAGAAAACATTTTTTCATTTTACTTAGAATAATTTTCTTATATTCCGTGGAACAGAAACACAGTGAAAGTTAATGGGGTCCAATTATATTTTGGACAAAAAAACCCCCTTCAAAATATATTTTATGTTCCACCACTTCTCAAGGGTGAATACATGATGACAGAATTATATTTTTTGCGTGAATTGTTCCTTTAATGAGAAAGGAAAACTTTGAAAGAGTGTTTTTCATAACCCAAACAATACTTTAATTAAAAGTTTCCGGGCTCACCAAAATTAAAACCAAACTAGTCATAGTTGTGATGTGGACTTCAGCTGCTTTTACAGAATTAGAATGAATTATTTAAAGGGTTAGTTCACCCAAAAATGAAAATTAAGTAATTAATTACTCACCCCCATGCTGTACCAACCCCGTAAGACCTTCTGGGCCGTCAAGAGGCAGTCCCTTAGGAGCCTATGTGGTAGTTATACAGCTCTCAAATTTAATCAAAAATATCTTTATTTGTGTTCCGAAGACGAACGAAGGTCTTACGGGGTTGGTACAGCATGGGGGTGAGTAATTAATGACTTAATTTTCATTTTTGGGTGAACTAACCCTTTAAACTTTATAGTGTAAATGGGCCTTCAAAAAGTTGAGGCTGACTTTGAGAGTCCGTTTAATGTACTTAAGCCAGGTCAGCAGTTGGACGCGGATGATAAATTAGACTGTTTACTCTCTTCTGGTCATGCTTTGAGATGCTGCAGCCTTAATTGCATTACCTAACTGCCCTGAGTACTTGCTCAATGGCTGTTATTACAAGTTCACCAGTCAACCATCAAACCAGACAATCCATGCCCCAATTCACCAAAACACTTGGTGAATAAATTAAGAAGCCAGAGCTAAAAGAACGAGATTATTCTTAAGGAGCATCACGTGATGCCTTGGTTAGTGTGATTTATGACCAGAGGCGCCCCATAAGCTCAATTCATGCGAATTATGTATGCGAGTGCAGAGAATGAATCAACGGCAGTGGGAGTCTGCAGCATGGCTTGCTTTTGACCTCATAATTAGCAGATGGTGAGTATGGATGCATAAAATTTTCATTCATAATGTGAGACTGTGAATGAGCTCACTTCTTGCAGAAGGAAATTAATGATGGAACAGATTTGGTGTGCCATCTGACATGACATCATTGCCATCTTCTTGCTGGGTGGATAAAGTACCAATTTAACTCATCATAGGCTTTACAAAGACAGCCTATAATTGAAATGGAGCCATTGTTTGCCTTCTCATGGCACCACCATAGTTGCCATTGCTGCTCTGATTTTGTCAGTGTGGGAACCGACCGAACCTATTATTAGGCAGTTGAGATAAATATGTAATTCTTCAGTTGCTATCTGGTATCAGATGCGTGTGGGTTCGAGTTGTGATGCCATCAAGGGTGAGTATGTGAGCAAGACAGCTTGAGTCACAATTCTGGAAAGCACGCATGCATAGGAAACCAAGAGGAGAGGTGTTTGAACGTGTCAGCATCTGATAAAGGCATCTGGTTAACTGCATCCTAACAGATTTTTGGGTTTTTTTTGCGATTATCAGATACTTCTACAGCCATAAGTTCACAAGGAAGCCTCATGTCAGGCTTTGCATCAAAGGAAGTGTGCTTGTTTGTATGGTAGACGTTCTGTGTGGCTTTCACTATGACAGGCATCGATATAAATGAGTCACCGCAGATGAACTGTGTAAACAACTGCACTTGCGGTGGTTATGTGTGTGTTTTTTTGCGTCACCCTTTTGGTGTACCTTGTGGGAGTTTTTGCCTCTAACGTGACTTTCTGTATCTCACATTTGTTCTAGCACGTGCCTGTCCTGAAGCATGGGGTCCTTACGAAAGCCCAGACCGCGTTTCATGAGCTCGCCTGTGCTGTCAGACCTTGCCCGCTTTCATGCCAGCTCGCCAACATTGCAGCTGTCCAACGCTAGCGTTTGGAACAGGTGGGTGGTTCTCTTTCCCAAGGATGAAAAAGAGAAAAGGCATTGTTTTATTAATTGCCATGAGATTTGAGGATATTTTTATTGCGTTTTAATATACACAATAGAGATTTTTACAAAGAAAGTTCATTAAAAAATCTGGTAATTTTGGGGTCACACCACTCGACCTTTATTTCTAAAATCAAGTTTATATCTATCTAGTGATTATAATTATGTCATGTATTGTAACCATCAAGTAAAAACTAATGACATATTTTCCTTATGCCTTGAATACATGTGAATGTACACATCTTAAGTTAAAAGTTTGTAAATACAATATGCAATACAATATGTATAATAAGTAAAAAAGGTTTATTTTTTTGCAAATATAATGAATGACTATTTCAAGATATTATTTAGTTTTTAGGGAGTGGCACCATTGCCACATTTGACATTTTGCAACTGAACTGACCTTATTTTTCATAAAACATGGCAAATTCTTAGAAATGTATTGTTTTTTTTTTATTATTTTGGTTTCATATGGGTCGGAAAAACTTTTACACCATTTTCAAGAAAAGTTTATATCCACTGACTCTAAATATGTCATGTAGTGTAAACATCATGTAAAAACTAACCTTATATTGTTATAAAATGGTCTCAATTTAGATAAGGGTCAAATTCTTACCAATTGCAAACTATTAACTAAACTTTTGCCTTAATAAACTCCTAATTACTGCTTATTAATAGTTAGTAGGTAGTTGTTAAGTTTAGATATTGGGTAAGGGATGTAGAATATGGTCATGCAGAATAAGGCATTAATACTGTACGTGCTTTATAAGTATGTATGCTAATAAGCAACTAGTTAATAGTGAGAATTGGACCCTAAACTAAAGTGTTAAGACTTACTGATCTTGACACAGAGTAATAAGCGTCTGCAGGAGTCCTCTCAATGACATTATGTCCTGTATAATTTTTTTACCACGTGATTTGTATGTTAATATTAATAAAGTGTGCCACTTTTGTTCAAATAATTTTTTCTAAGAAATAGTAATAAAATATTATGCTTTTAAAAACTTTTCTTTCCAATTTTATTATTTTAACGGGAAAGGATTTTTTACCTTTTCTATTTTTATTAATATTCATTATTCATATATCTTTCCTGTAGCTATCTTAGCTTTAAAATGATTTTTCAGGAAGCCACGAACTTTGCACTAAAAGGGGCGATGTTTACAGTAAAATTGGAACCTTGCTTTGTAACTTATGACTTCATACTTAGCTTGCCATATTTAGTCTTTGGGGAAAACCCTTTAGAGATGGTAAGTTTTTTGCAACAGCCTTTGCCTTTACCACTTCCTAATGGAAACGAGACCTCTCTCAGGAAGTGTAGAGCAGGATGTTAGTCAAATCTGTGGTCGGTTGGCAGTGAAAGTTTGCTGGCAAGCAGACAAAAATGCTGACCATAGATATGAACAACAGAGACAATTTCCCTGACACAGGTGACATTTCTGGATTCTGACATATTTTTACAAAGTGAAAGTCTTGCATATAAGGCATGTTTTGCGTGGAATTTGCTTGGCTTGCAAATCATCAGTCAGGCGTATTTGAATCATTTTCTGGGTCATTTTTGTCTTGCAGTGTTCAAACGGCTGTAATTAAAGTCTTCCAAGGTGGGGGGCTGCAGACCAATGAGCTTTACACCCTGAATGAAAGCATACGGTAAGACATCAATACAGAGAAAACCAGCCATGTACTCAATTCACTTTCAGGGCTAAAAGGCGGGAGGGGGTGTTTTTGTTTTTTGCAAGAAGAATTGTGATTGTCAAAACATTTGATAACTGAACACAATTTCATTAGGTTTACTGACAACATGTTGCAATGTTTACATGGAACAATGATAAGTACTGTGTTTTTATTAGGTCTGGGTTTTGACACAGATTCGATTCGGTTTTGAATCATAAGCTTGCAATTCGAGTCCAATCTCGATTCAATTCGATTCATTTCAATGTGGTAAAGTACATATTAATATTTCTCTCTCAGCTGCTTTAAACTTACGGTAACCCCGTCAGTTATTAAAGGTAAAATTAATATACAATCATTAATTAAAAATACAAAATTTGTAAACAATTGAATGAGGCAATTTGTATAATAATGTAAACGTATAACGAATGTGTAATATAGTGCCTATTTTATGCTCAATACTCCTCTCTAAAGTTCATTTTTCTGAGGTAAATGTAATGTTACAAGCTGTTTTATTGGCTTTTTTCCGCGGTTGAAACGTTGAAGATTACATTAGTCGTGATACGTAGGGCTGTCAAACGATTAATTGCGATTAATCGCATCCAAAATAAAAGTTTGTGTTTACATAATATCTGTGGGTGCACTGTGTATAATTATTTCATATATTTATAAATACACATGCTTTTATGCTTGTATATATTTCAGAAATATTTTCATGTATATACTGTATATAGATTTATTAGGTCTGTCAAACGATTAATCGTGATTAATCGCATCCAGAATAAAAGTTTGTATTCACATAATATATGTGGGTGCACTGTGTATAATTATTTTATATATATAAATACACACACATGCATGTATATATTTAAAAAATATCTTCATGTATATACTGTATATAGATTTATATATAATTTATATTATATATAAATATAAATATTTTATATATAAATAATATTTTTTTTCTTAAATATACATGCATGTGTGTGTATTTATATATATATATATAATAATTATACACAGTGCACCCACATATATTATGTAAACACAGACTTTTATTCTGGATGCGATTAATCACGATTAATCGTTTGACAGCCCTAAGATTTATATATAATTTATTATATTTTATATATATATATATATATATATATATATATACCAAATAATTATACACAGTGCACCCACATAAACACAAACTTTTATATATTTTATTAATCGTTTGACAGTCCTAATGATACGTTTCTGTAAGTTGAATTTTATGCTGTAACTAGTAGTAAAGCGGAAGAGATGATCGGTTCACGTGCCGGCTCTATCTGTATGCATTATTTGAATTTCGTAATAAAATTTGCATAATTTGTTTCATATTATCAAATCATATTCATACATCCATTTGTCTATCTGATGTGCAATGTTTTTTTCACTGTGTGAAAAAATAGACGTGTGGCGTGAGAGTGTGAGAATGGTGTCAATTTTGTGAGTCTTGCAAGGAGTGTGCAAGTTGGCAGCCCTGTTTCTGATCTCTAATCAAGTCATGATCTGACTTTTTTGAATTAAGTAGGCAATGACCCAGAATAAGCTAGAAACCACATAGAAACACGCTAAAACCAACAATCAACATTTAGCAACCACCCACAACACCCTAGCATTGTGCTGGTGAGTTTTGTACAGGCAGCATCATAAAAATGTACTTTATATATAAGGGCTCATCTCAGCTGTTAAACTTTTTTAACAGGTGGCTTTTGAGGACCGAGTTGGGATCATTCATCACAGAGTACTTTCAGGTAAAATGTATTTCAGTCTTAAAGACATTATGAAGTGAATTTGAAAAGTTACTATAAAAATTGAAGTCACAGAGAGTGAAGTGAACGGGACATTTTTTTGTAGCATTTAAAAGCATAAATGTGTGTGTGTGAATATATTTTTTACAGCGTTAATTAACAAAATTGGTCATGTAAGTTCACAGTGCATTACCTAATTTTAACAGATACAACTTACATAATTAAATATATTGCTGAAATAAACATTAACTATGAATAATAAATGCCATAGAAGTATTGTTCATTGGTCATAGTCCTGTTAATTAATGTAGTTTACTAATGTTGACAAATAAAACTATATTGTAAAGTGTTATCCACCATTTTTACAGTTGTTTTAGGGTTAGGGCTGTTAGTAAGCATTTTTAGACTACACTTTTTTAATTGTTTATTTCATATGGCCTTCCTATTGATATGATGAGTATTGGCTCCATTTACTTTATTTTACTCATATTATCCAGGATCAACTCTTGAATAAGGGTCTGATGGATATTTTGGAGAAGATTCAGCTTCATAATGGTTAGTGCCAAACCAGATTTTCTTACTCATTTCATGGCCAGCATGGGCTTTAATAAGGTTTTATACAGATGTGTGTAATTCAATGACTCCCTGCATTCTTTTCTCCTTTCTCACGGCCAGATGAAAATCGGCTCCAAGCGCTGTCTGAGATGTGGGTGAGGTTTTTCACAGAGATCCTGCCAACTCTTCAAGCTATTTTCTACCCCGTGCAGGTATTAAAATGATCTCACCTACCATTCAAAGTAGTAGGTCAGTGTCAAGTTACCGACTCTATGGCTTTTTGGCTGTGTGTGTAGGGTCAGGAGTTGACTGTGAGGCAAATGGCTCTGCTAGGCTTCAGGAACATGGTTCTGTTGAAGCTTCCTCTGGAGAACATGTTTCAGGGCTCCTCATACCCTCCTCCAATCACACAGATGCTGCTGATCCTGCAGGTGAGGTCTCACTGGCAAAATGGGCTTTCAATTAAATTTGTCTGCCTAATGCTATACCGTAGAAAGGTGAAATTAATTTAAGGAATGGGTGCTAAATGAAAAAACGCTGTTGTCTTCCCTTTTGCTCAACACCCATAATGCACTGGGCTTATTGCCGTCCAATGAGACTCCCAGCAGACTGCTATGGATGCTCTCACCAGAGTCAAATGCTTTAGTAGGAAATGCTTCTTAGCTAACTTTTAGTTATAATGGTGTCGACGTGTATTTTTCCCAGGTGTAGGAATTCAAAGAGTAAACGTTTAACAGGAATGAGTTACGTTCGGTTTCCAGAGAAGGATCCAGCGCGTTGTGGCTGCTAAAGAGTTGTATATACGGAGAGAAAAATTTAAAATCCTCTGTTTGTAGTCAACATTTGCAAACTGGATGACCACCAACACAGTGTTTTATGCCAAACAGATGGGAAAAACTGAAAGAAACTGCTGTGTTCATGAAAGTCCTGGAGCTGTCAAAACTCGTGATGCACGGACAATAAGTTAAACATTGTTCATTTACATTACTGATATTGTAACAATGCAAAGCGGTTTGAAAATTGGGTTACACTTAAAGTTTGGTTTACATTTAAAGTTACACTTTAAAAATGTCCAAGTTTTTTTGAAGCATCATTAACATTTCCACCACATCTCAAATTTTGTGATGGAAATTACATTTTGAACATTTTTAAGCAGACTTTTCTGTCCTGCTAAGGCTAGTTTTATAGCAAATTTAATTAATATTTTCACCTGTCTGGCATAATTTGACAGTTACAGCTTGATGCACAATAAAAAATAATCTGATATCAAAATATATTTACCTTAATTTTTCTTTAAGTGCATCCCATTTCGCCAATCTATGATGCTTTGTTGTATAAATAGTGTGAGTAGTTTGTTCACACTAAAAATTCCAAAAAGTACACTTAAATATCCAGATGACGCACTTAATCAACCAAAAAAACAAATTGTGGAAGGACCCTTCATGCACTCAACTGTGGGAGGGGCTATCAGACTGATGTTGAATGACAAAATAACCTTATGAAATTTATACACTAAACAGATAAGTACATACTGTATTGTACAATGCATTTTTCATGCATCTTTCCTCTCTTATATCATCTTATGCTCTTTACTGACACTGTTGCACAGTAACATTTGGGGAACAAAAAAAAAATTGTCTGAAAAAAGTAATTGAGATGAAGCCACAAGTGAGAGACAGTTATAATTGTGTAAAAAATAGATATAAATACGGTAATGTTCACACAGTAAATATTGCAATTGATTATGTTTATCATACTCATCATCATCGTTCTAAAAAATTAATTATATTTTTATGATTATTTTCATATTTTTAGATTTACAGCCAAGATATATAACAAAAGTAATGATGAAGATATCCTTTTATATTAGGATTGTTAGTAAAAGTATTATAAATATATATATTTTTTATAGAGCTGAAATAAAGAATAAGATGAAAACTATAGCTGAAATGTTGCCTTGGCTAACTATTTGATATAAAATAATTGTAATAATTATTATAAATAATTCCAATTTGAGTACTAAACTTGCTAAAACCGAAATAAAAAATCAATTAAAGCTAAATAGAAATATTAAAAAATAGTAGATATAATAATACTACTATAATACTGCTTTATATATGACAAAAAGAAGAGTTGAAATCCATTTTATTAAAAATCAACCACTGTTTATGTCCATGTTATGCAAACATTTGTTAACACACAGGTGAGAATTAGAAGCAGAGATATGATGATAAATACTGAGAATATTCCCTGAGTGGCAGTGTGGGAACATATTCATATCTGCTTTGTGCGGGTGTAATCTCAGACCAGATACCAAGCACCTTGACCCAGCATTCATTTTTAAAATCAGGCTCCTCTATACAAAAGAAATTTGTCAGCTTTGTTCCTGAACAGGGCTGAGTACCACAGGGATACAGTGTCATGCCTAAGGGTGTAATGGTGATGCATCATCTGTTCCTGAAATACTCCCACTTGTCAGCAGCTTTCTTGGGATTGAACCCAGATATTTAACTATTCATCTCCCGGTAGACTTTATTTTGGATTCATATTTTCATTATGTCCAGGGCATTCATGAGCCTAACGGACCCACACAAGAGTATTTCCGACTGGAGAGACTGGTGGACATGGTTGTATCTCCTTACCTGAGTAACTACCTCTACACGAGCCCTAGCGATTCCTCTTCAGGTGATCATTCATTTTATGCTTTATCTTCTTCTGCATTGTGGGTCAATGACATCATGCACTTTTGTCTGGGTCTATTCATTTATTCAAAAATCCAATTAATATATACAATGAACTGAATACACACTATTGCTATTTTTTTTATGTAGTTTTTGATGAAACACTTAACAAAGAGGTTTTATCTGTTAACATTAGTTTACATTTTACATTTTTATTCATTTAGCTGACGCTTTTATTCAAGGTATTTACTTCCTGTTTTTGGTCGAAGTCGACAGTAGTCAATTGTTGAGTTCGCGTGCGTGATCATTGGTAACTAAGCAACAGTGGAGACTCAGACTGTCAGCTGTCAGCCAATGACGGTGCTGTGTGGTGTTCTGAGAATATCAGCTCAAATGGATAGTTGTTGAACACAAGATCGCGCACGCGAACTCGACAATCGACTACTGTGGACTTCGACCGAAAACCGGAAGTAAATATTGGTATGTGAGCTAGCTAAATTAACATCATTTTTATTAATATCTTTCACATCTACTGCAGTCAGATTGACCGTGGTCACTCTTAAAGCCAGGGATACTCCACTTTTTTTGGAAATAGGCTCATTTTACAACTAAGTTTGTGTAGTCATCGCGCCTGCTGCACTCATGGTACGGCAGTGAAATTTCCTGATTATTACGCAGGAATGAGAGTATAGTTCCCTGCATATCAGCCTATAAAATCGCAACTTTACATTTTCCATCGGTCTTAATGCATGATGTAACTACAGAAGAGTCAAGTTTTTAATAGGAAAAATATCGAAATTACTTTGTAATTTTTTTTGGCAGAAATGCTAATAGTCTTGTGCACTTCAATGATGTACGCTAAGCTATGCTAAAAGTGGTACCGCCAGAAACGGAGAATCGGTTGAATTGGTTCTAAAACGGTAAAACTCAACAGTTTAACTCTGGGGGAGTTGTAAAATGAGCCTATTTCCAAAAAAAGTGGACTATCCCTTAAATAACACCACTCACATGGCTGTGCACTCGTAATGACAAATCAAGGATGTTAAGAGGCAGGTTTAGAACATGCCCCATTGAAGTCAACAGGGTGCGAATTTTAAAAAGACGATAACACGGTGTTGGCAACACCGATTTTTGACAGCACTCCAAATGTACAAAAAAAATGAGCTCAATGTTAAAATTGACCAGAGTTCTCCTTTAAGAGTGTTAGGATCAAGAAGTCTCAAAAATGTAAGATAATTTGGCCTTTTTATGACAACGCAAATGTCACGTGGTGAATATATGTAATCGATGTGTAAGGAAAATGGTATTTTATTGAAAATGGTAGTGAATATTATATTCTCCTCCACAAAGCATGAGAGTATAACACAAGAAATCTTAAAACTCACGGGACAGGCAGGAGAAACTCAGGGAACAGACTAAACATCCACTAGAGTCAACGAGGCAGGACAAGGAATGGAGGAGACACAGGGCTTATAAACACAGAGCAAACTAAAGAGCTAATGAGAACATTAAATAGACAACAGTTGAACGGGATCATTCATCAAACTCACAGGGGAAACTAGGTCAAACTTAGTATAACAGGAACAAACACTGAACAGAGCAAAATCCTGACATAATGACACCACATGACATATTAAACATAAACAGTGTTTTTTTAAAACCCATATAAACGCCAACAAAAGCAAAAAGTAGATTAGTCAAACTAGATTTCCTTTTTTTACGTCATTGACCCTAGTCTAATTTCTGCAAGTCCGTGTTGAATCTAACCACTGTCATTATGGCTTCTCCTGCAGAGGATCATCTGGAAGGCTTGGTTAACACCCCACACCCCACTCAACCTGAGATTATGGTGACACACTTTGCCCACGAGTCCTTCCTAGCACCTCTAATCGAACACGAAGGCGAAGCCTATTTGGAAAGGACCGGCGGCGGCCGACGACACACTGTCGCCAATGTGCATTCGGACATCCAGCTCCTGTCCATGAAAAACAGGATGTGTTCAGAAAAAGTCAAGGTCAGGACGAGCAAGAGCAAAAAGACACCTAAGAGTTTCTACAGCGAACAGGCCTTTTTTGACTCGCGACCAGGTGGCGTGGAAATCCTTCGAGGTCAAAGCACTGCAGAGATGAAGTGTGGCTTAACTAGTTAGAAATCTCTCTCTCACACACACACACACACACAAAACGCCCACTGCAATCTTCTAAAGTTATGATAGCTGAGACAAGCTAGAACCTGTTGCATTTAATACAATATGAAGTCTACTGCTGTTTGGCCTGTCAGTTTAGCCTTTTGTGTGGAGGTTGGTTGAAGAAGTTAACGGTTCAGCCCTTTCTTGTAAAGCACACAGAAAGTCACACTTTTTTTTCTGCTGTGGAGGTGGTAAAGATGTGTGAAAATATGCCCTGGTGTGCTCATGTTTTACAGTGGTACAGTAAAAACCATACTCGCATCATAAACTTTTCTGCACTTGCTTGCAGTTCCTGTCTTCTACCCTCTCTTTCTTAAGTGATCTCATCTCTTTGTAGTGGAAACTAAACATGCTGATATGAAAAATTTTATGAATATTTTTGTTATAGTTATAGTTTTATGGAATTTGAATATTATGGTAATTTAAAAACAAAGGCATTCATGTGTGGATGTAAAAGAATGTATATATTTCTAGAAATAAATGTAATGAAGAAAGTGATTTTGAATTCATTTTGGCATTTGATTGTTCGGTGGACATTAAGTTCATGTGATCGTTTCTTTGCGGCTAATGTTCCTTTAGCAGATTAGCTGTTAAGGAGCTTTAGGTGTTGTTTTCAAATGTTGTTAGCCTCAGAAAGCCTTTGTGGCAGTGTTTCAGCACGTGAGTCCTGCCAAAGAGCCTTTTGGATCAAGAACATTTGACCTTGGTGAAGGTAAGGGTGGTTGAAATGTTTTTTTGTTGTGGATCCATATCATTTCAACAGAAGTATTGCAGATGTGTCAAATTTGTGAGAAGGTACCAGATTGACTGATGAAGTTCCTCTCGTGACTTAGTTCAGTGTAATCTTATTTGAGGTGATTAGTTCTGTCCGGTTTTCTTATAAAGAAGATATGAAAATTGAGCTGCCAAAGGGCTTGATTTTACTGGACGTAAGAATAAAAAAAGAGAACCATTTACTGATCTTTGGTGCCATCTTCTGGTTATTTTACTGGATTGCAGCTTTCTACAATAAATATAAAATAGTTTCTGTTTCTTACTGTTATTTTTTATTTATTTTTTTACAAATGGGGCAGTCAACGTTGGAAGTGGATCAGAAAAGTTAAACAATCCTAAAAATTGACAAGAACAGGTATTATTTTTTTTAAATAATTTTTTAATAATAAATAATTATTTTATATATATAAATTATTTTTATATACTTTTATATACTTTTTTATTTATTTTATATATATAAATACACACGCATACTTGTATATATTTAAGAAATATTTTCATGTAGGATATACTGTTTATAGATTTATGTATAATTTCTATTATATAGAAATATAAATATTTTATATATAAATAATATTTTTTTCTTAAATATAAATGCATGTGTGTGTATTTATATATATCCAAAATAATTATACACAGTGCACCAACATATATTATGTAAACACAAACTTTTATTTTGGATGCGATTAATCGTGATTAATAGTTTGATTAATATATATATATATATATTAGGGATGCACCGATCCACATTTTTTCACTTCCGATCCGATCCCGATACCTGACTTTGGATATCGGCCGATACCGATACTTTTCCGATACCAGAGCTGTGTTTGCTTTAATAGTATTTATCATTATTGTTGATTTTATATGATGCTGAAATAAACTCTTCTCTACAGGCAAGGATGATATGTACGTATGTATGTATGTCAATATAAATATATATATATATATATATATATATATATATATATATATATTAAACAATAGATAGACAATTAAACAAAGATGCACATTATACAGGCCTACACAGTGCTTTAATTTCAGGAAGGTCTGCAAACAGTATTCAGGTATGGTCTTAAAAATAATTATAATAAAGTAATCAAAAGTAAAATAGCACTGCAAAGTTTATCATAGATAGATGTATGCTTATTAAAGCTGAAGTAATTCATTCAAGAGCTGTGAGTGATTTTCTCTTTGCCTTTGGTTGTTTGATTCTCAGTAATGTCGCAATCGTCACATTTATACTGCTGCCCCTTTAAGAACGAGTTCAGATTTCATAGTCTACTGATGCACCATATTTTCTCCCAAATATTTCCATAACTACGTTCATTTTAGACATAATAAATTGTTTAAGTGTTAATCTCCAAGTCGGTCGGTTTGACATTTTTGTGCAGGCTACATTTGATCGTTTAGACGTGCATATGAAGCCCAGAGTATTATTTGCTTGTCTTGTTGCGGTCTGTTTCGGAGCGCGCCGCACTGGGAACAGCATCTCTTGCGCACATTTTGTGCTTTTAATAGCTCTTTTTATTATTAAAAGCGTGACGCAATTTAGTAACAGCAGAGACTGCATTTTACTACAATCATCGATCGTGCTGATTTTGTCTTAAAGTTTGAGTTTTAGGGAGAAATGACAGCGCACCGCCGTGATGGGAAGGAAGTTGGCTAGACAGAATGCGGCTATTGTGTTTAATGTTTTTTTTTTTTTTTACCTCAATATATTCTTTAATATTTGGAAATCAGACTAATATCACAGATCTAAAGTGTAACCAGGCTACGTTTCCTCTGTCGTCACTCATTACGCCGGGCTGTCATGTTGTGCTTGCTGTTGCACCGCGTGAGGGATCTCTCTCTCTTTCTCTTCTGGACTGCGAATTGCAAACATGCATCAAATAGTTTAATTAATACGGCTTTGCAAACATTGCACTTTGCGGTCTTGCTCTGCACTGCAGCGGTGTTTCCAGTTCCACTATATGATTTCCACACAGCGAACATGTTATAGCTCAATGCTATCCTGCTAGCTGGCTGCAAACTGCGGAATGGATTTCCTGAGCGGGGGTGTGTCTCATTGAGCCCTATGTTTTACAGTCACTGATTGAGCTGCACCTCCGTTCAGGGTATCCATTCCACAGTTTGCAGCCAGCTATAGCAGACTAGCAGGCCCGGCAGGAATCACTTTTGGAGTCATTTCAGCAGACAACGTTAAAGCGCAGACATGGATCATAAATATCGGATTTCTCCGCAGGTTGGATCGGAAAAATCCGATACGTGAATTATGCTGGTATCGGTCCCGATACCGATACTGGATCGGATCGGCCCCATCCCTAATATATATATATATATATATATATATGTTTGTGTGTGTGTGTGTGTGTGTGTGTGTGTGTGCTGTCAATCCATTAAAAAAACTAGATTAATCACACATTTTTCTGTGATCAATCGCAATTACAAACACTTAAGTTTTTAAATATTTTAGATTAGATTATTAGATTAATAAATCATCATAGAAGGATTTTTGAAGAATTGTGTCAAATTGATCCATATTTATCTGTATTCATTTCCTATGAAATTTTGACAACGCATTATTTTTGGATACATTTTTGTCAATAATAATATTTATTTTCTCTCAACTTTATGGATTACTTAAAAAAAGTGACACAAATGCAATACACAGATCTGTACTGTGAAGTAAAGAGTAACCCACTTTACTATCCATAGACTATGTGAAAGGAAGTGTGAATGGCAGATAAATGACAACTGACACTATATAGCCTAGCTCACATGACAATACTATTTGTTTATTAAAAAAGATTTAGCACTTCACATAATGTTAACGGGATAGTTAACCCAAAATAGACAATTCTGTGATAATGTACTCACTCAAGTTGTTCCAAACCTGCATGAATTTATTTCATCTGCTGAATTACAAAAGAAGATTTTGAAGAATATGGGGGTAACCAAACAGTTGGTGTTCCCCCTTGACATTGACATGACTTCCATAGTATGGAGGGAAAAAAACACTAGTCCAGCAGATGGCGCTCTCAAACAATGACGCTCTCAATCACGTCCCAAAAGCGCGGAAGTGACGTTCATCCCGCCGCCGAACGCACAGAGCAACAAACCCAAGCTACCGAACTGCACGCGAGAGCAACGTTTACTGTGAAAACAATAACACGCACACGGCCCACATCACATCTTTGCTTTCATAGCGTGACGCGTTTGAGCACATCTCGAGCCGATACAGCGATAATATCACAGAGGGAGCAGCAGAACTGCCGAAATCCATTGAACCCCGCGGTGAAGTCGGACACGCTGATGGCGGCGACAGTGGAGGATCTCTACCGTAACTACGGCATCCTCGCCGACGCAAAAGAGGATCTCAGCACGGTAGACAAAGCCTCGTATATCTGTGCTGTCGCTCAATATAGCAACAATAGTCTTTATATATTCCGTTTTGGTGGGGTTTTTTTTGTTGTTAAATATTAAAGATTGGTGTGTCTGCGAGGCCTCCTCGGACTACTAACGTTAGCTCATTAAAGCCTGCGATAGTTGTTTGTGTGTTTTTGAGTAAATAAGCTACCGTGTTCATCTGCGAGCATTTGTGGTTACTGTACATCCACGAAATTTTCATTCTGTGTGCAAACAATGAAATACTTTTGTTAAGGAGAAAGCTATCAGGCTATTGCTACGCTGTGAGCGTAAGTTAGCGTGTTTGTGAATTTGTGTTTCCGCTGTCCAGCGCACTGAAATACTGATGAATAATTAACAGCGTAGGATAGGCTTTCAAGAGGAAGGATGAGTGAATTTACATAATGCAAATCTTGTTATTCTGGGGGAAAATTTTCAAATGTGTCCTTATTCAGAGAGCACTTCATCAAATGTTTGAAATGTCGAATGTATATCCCTTACGAAGATTAACCACTACAAATAAAACTAAAATACCATGGTTTGTAGTTAAACTATGGTTATGCTACACTAATCATAGTTTAACCATGGTATTTGTAGTGAAACTGCTTATACAGATGGTAATTCACCCCCCAAAAAACATGGTTACACTTTTGCTATAAAACCATGGTTAATTTTCGTAAGGAATGTTATGTATTTATATACTCTACAATAAATAATTTTATTTGACCCTTCCTCACCTAGGCTGCATTTATTTGATAGAAATTACAGTAAAAACTTTAATATTGTGAAATGTTATAATTACCAATTAAAATAATTTCTATTTTAAGATATTTATAAAGTAATTTATCCATAAGATAGCAAAGCTGAATCGATTTTAATTGGTGCTCGTTTTAATAATAATTGTTAGTCACGGCGAATGTTATTGGCATCTCGGCAATCGATTACATTTCAAACTAATTTCTAATAAAACGAATATTTTAAATCGACTCAAAATTCAAGATATTATAAGAAAGATTAAAAAACGTAATTATTGACCGGTTGTGTGTTATTAGTCATACCGTAACTCAATGCTTCATGTATTAAGATATGTAGGCCTATTAAACTTAAAATACATTAAAACAAAAAAAAAACATTGCTAGTATTTTTCAATTATCATGGTAACTCTTTACAAAAACATTTGTTT